CCTACTTCATCGCATTTATTGTTTTCTTCTTTTATCTCCTGAGACAACAATGACAATGGTAAAAGTAGAATTATTTTATATAGTGGAATATAAAGCATTAGAAAAATTGGTGCTTTGGAGTAAACCAAAGAAAAATACTTGTTTGTATAAAAAAACAAACAGCATATTTATTTTATATATATTTGTATGTTTGTATTCGGGATTGTGGGAAACGGTATTTCGATCTCTCTGTCTGTACACACAAACTGAAAGATTGACAATAAAGTTGACTTTGATATATATATCGCCATATCGTCCCACCCCATTTAACAGTGTCAGTTTCTCACCACACAGCTGGAGTATCCGATCCCTGCCAGCCGGGGGGAGATGAACTTCCACACCCCGATGCTGCCCTGTCGGATGGCCTGCCCGGCTGCCAGCTCCAGGAAGAACAGGGGGATCCCCATAATGAGCATTAGCAGCACATAGAGGAGGAGGAAAGACCCTGAGGACAAGGGTTAAGGAATAAGCATCACATTTAGTTAAACAGCAATTATGTAAAAGAGAAGCAAACTTTTATGCTAAACTGTGAGATGTACACACTATTCTGATTACTGCTCCATGCAACAAATTATTCTTTGAGAAGTAAATAAGAGACATGTAGGGAAATTTGTGACTGAATGTTAACCACAAAACCAATCAGTGCCATTTCATTTCTGGCAAAGGAGCATGTCATAACCCGATATAAACTGCCTATGATCATAGCTTATCTCGCCTACACTTCCTGTCTAACCTGTCACCTTCAACCACCAAAAAATAACAACAACAGAAGCCGCCAAAGACAAACGTTTAAACTAAAACAAGAAAGTATTATAGGACTGTATCCTAGTGTTCATGAAGACTCTACACTGGTTCCCCTGAAACGGATATAATCCAGATGTTGTAATAGAAAACGTTAGAGCAGCATTTAAATGGATGAAATACACTCCCGTACACTCTTTCTCTCTCTTTAAATCACATGTTCACCCTGGGATTGTGACCCTGACAGACCCTTTAAATCCACGACTCACAACACTTGTGTTTGGTCTCATGGGACCCGAAGGAAACAATCCTGTTGCGTCATTTGAAACGGAGGACAATAATAAAGACTCACCTCCTCCATTTTGATGGCACAGATATGGAAACCTCCAGACGTTGCCGAGCCCAACGCTGAACCCCACCTGAGCCAGAAAGTACTCGACCTTGCTGTTCCACCCTGCTCGCGCTGCAGGCTCAGACGGGACCTCCTGCATCTCGTCTCCAGCGAACCCAGCTGTCCCCGAGTCTGGGGCTCCTGTGTGGTCATCGTCTGTGGGCAGGGGCTGCTTCTCCATCTGAGAGGGGACGGAAGAAAAAGGAACTGGTCAAAATGTGAACCACTGCGCTGAGACTGTTGCTGATCATCCTCGATAGTCAAAATTAGATTTACGGGGATTTTTCTGCAGCTAAGGACATCTGTGGCCTTTACTTGTGGTGCACTCCAGATAGAAGTACTTTTCTGACTCCAGCAAGCAATGATACCATTAACCAGATTCAATATTTGGTCTATTGCCAACTATATTTCTCCAATACAAGGAATTTGGGGTAAAATGGCGCATACATGAACAGAGTAGGAGAAATGTAAATGTAAAACAAGTGCAATAATATATAATAAATATTGGAACATTAAATAATGCATTATATTATCATACTTTTTATTTAATAAATACTTGTAAAATCATTTAAATGTTGTAGTTTGAAGTCAGTTTTGTATATTTTGTAAAACACTTTGTTGAGAAGTAGTAGAGCACTTTACTTAGTTAATCTACTTAGTTACTTCCCACCTCTGAGTATGGTTTTCCAGTAAATGTACTTAGTTACATTTCACCACTGATATTTTGTCCACCATATATATATATATCAATAGGACCTTAATGCGAGGTTCATTCAGGTAAAGTAACGTTACATCCCCAACCATGTGTCTTTGTCTGGACTCACACAGAGAACACACACACAAGTCAAAACAAAAACAAGTGAGACCCTTTTAGGGAAAACATTTAGAACAGGGTAAAAATGATCATATTGAAAGTATATCTATGTTATGGAGGGAATCCTGATACAAGACCATGTGCATGCATACATTAAAACTGACACTGTCTTTGAAAATATACAATAAAACCTAAAGAAAAGACAAATGTAAACCGCACACACACTTCTGACAGACACACTGAGCTGTCACCAGCAAATGTCGTCAAAGAGGAGGTGGAATAAAAACCCGAGTTGCCAGAAAACAGAGAATATAAGCGATACATTATTCTTCTGTTGTATTAAAGGAGGAAATGAGCCCATGTGGCTGCCGGTCTGATCTGTCACTGTGTTCGCTGCGAGTTATCCTTTGTTTCCATTTGTCTAACTAAATGCAACATATCAGACATTTTTATTCTAGGTTTGACTGAGACGAAAGATAAATAAAAACACGTTTGAGCGCTAAATGTGCAAATTCTCTTACCGCGCCCGCGTGTTCTCAGCTTCTTTTCACGTTTGTGGTTAAAAACCGAGGGCGTGGGGTTGTTCTGCGCATGACGCAATATTACTACAGGCTGCGTTCACGGACTGCAGGAAGTATGTAAACCGTAGTCAGCGCGGACCATGGATGTATAATAAGAGGCGCGGACACAAGTAACCTTTGGCATTCATTTGATATGAAGGACATTGATTTGATATGAAGGACATTGATTACATACATTGATTTGTACATACATTGATTTTTTTTGTATTGTATTTCATAATTTGGTCTTTCCCCCTCACATTTTGCGGTTGTGAAAAAATGGCTGTGTGACATGTGAGATTTGCTCAAGAAATAATCAAACAAACGATAAATAGTTTTATTTCTCCATGATCTATTAATGTGTTGAATTTCTATCAGTTTTTATAGCCCAATGTTTAATTGCTTGTTTGTTCAATTAACCATCCAAATTCTCAATTCACAAGATTTTAAATAATAACTCAAATGCTCATATTTAATAAACTGGAACCAGTTTACTTTACCATTACTTGAGATATTCATAAATTATCAAATGTGTTGAAACATTTTCTGCCAAGATGATAAATGATTAATCAATATCGCTTCAATATAATATGAAGTCGCAGAAAGAAAACAAACCTAAGTTAAGTTCAAGTAACTTATGTAGATATAGCTTTCCTAAGTACTTTTTTTCGGTTATTTTCAATTACATTTCAGTGGTTGTCACAGTTACAAGAGGGTCCCTGAACGCAGCATAAGCCCAAACACTGATCCTTTAAAGTTATTTTCCAACACGTGTGACTGTATGCATCCAGTTCAGGGTTAAACGTGTTTAACATGCAGTTTAATAGCAGAAATGGGACCCCACACTTCTTATATGGTTTCCTAAAGTCTTTAATTGACATGACATCAATTTAAATAGTAACGTTTTCAGTATAAAGTCGAATCATTTGATCTCCTTTGATCCACGTTTTATCAGTTGTCAAACATAACACGTGGCAAATTATTATTTTGATTCAGCCTACTGTCAGATATATCCATTCATTAAAAATAAAAGTACATCTAGGCTGATGCAATAGCTCCTGTGGTTGAGAGGGGATTTCTGCTAAACTGGAATACGTTTGCTTCCTCCAAAGGTGGAACGTGGAAGTAATAGCTTTTATTACACTTGTTTACAACATTCAATAGTTATTTTCCATCAAAGGTTTCTATAACAAAGGATTCATCACAGTCACACTGACATGACACACACACACGCACACACACACACACACACACACGCTGCATGCCACGTAGACTATGCTTGTTCGGGATGCACATTAAACACACTCTCTAATACCACTACCAACTTGTTTTAGTACAATATCATCTCTGCGCTTTGGAAAAACAACATGTATTTATGAAAAGGTGGTACATACCGAGTGGTTTTAAATAATAGAGATCCTTGAAAAGTTTTCCAAAATGTCCCAAAGTCAAGTGGTAACCTCGCTGGCTTCCACCTGACTCCGCCTTTCCTCCTCTATTGGCGGATACCATGGACACTTGTCCTGTTATGAAATATGACACCCCACATTTCCAAAATATATGCATCATGCCCCCACCACACTCCCCACACTAAGGCATGTGTTTAAAGTGGTTTAGTTTATTTCTAAGGTGATTTTAAAGTTGCTACTAGTAGTAACTTGCTGAAATATGTGTGCAAACAAAAGGCAACTTTACAATGACTTTTTATCTGAAGTAAGGACGTTTTATTTCTTCATATTAAAGGTGGGGTAGGTAAGTTTGAGAAACCGGCTCGAGATACACTTTTTGTTATATTCCATGGAATGCTCTTAACATCCCGATAGCAATGAATATTTTAAGTGCTTTGACCAAAAATCCATAAATAAAAATTAATCTGTGGAAGCCATAGTACTACTGTAAAAAGCACGACCAATCATTTTAGCCGGCCCGACTAAAATAACTGGATGGACTACCTGCCTGTCAGCCTTCCATCTGTGCACAAGCTTATCTCGTGCCGTCATTGGTCATGTGCGCGTTCGTGTGTGTTGGAGGAGGGGCTCTGTAAGGAAGTGGCAGATTTTTTCCGGCTGTGTATTTTCAAATCTTAGCGCACTCGAGTTGGTTTCTCCAAAATTACCTACCCCACCTTTAAGGTTTAAATGTGCTTTACAACCTTCTTCTCACTGCTGGAATCATATTCTGGTGAGTGAATAATGAATGTTGGTTCATGTTTTGTTCTTATAAGTGGATAATTGAACCAAATTTACAAAAAATCCCACATTTCAAGAGAAAATTACCTCAGTTTTGCCATTTCAACCTAAGTACTTGCACAATTATCACAAAAAGATTGAGATATGCTCACTTTTTAATGTAGGTGTACAGGAGAGTGAGTCAATATTTTTATCTCCAAGGTGAGGTGGTACACTGGGCGGGACGCTGACACACCTCTGCTCTGTAAAAGCTTTCAATACCAAAGAGAGGAGCGTGAGTTACACTGAGACTCAGGACAGGTTTTACTCTCAGTATAAACACACTAACAGGCTGCTAACATCAGGGACAACGACTGGAAGAGTATCAACCTTGGTAAGTTCATCAAACATCCATTTTCATTATCTGTAAGTATTAGGAACTCTTAAAATGTGAGCCTACTTTGATAATGGTGTACAGTAACAGTACATTAGAAACTGCAATGAAAGGCATTGTGAAACTGGTGCCTCTAGTTATGAATTATGAGTAGTAACTGTTCAAGATACTTGAATTAATGCTAATTTGATATTTGTTTGGTTCATTCATTAGAATATTAATCAACTTTGGTGGAGTTACTGAAATCAATAACGGGACATGTCCCTTTTACAACAAATGTTTCACTATTTTGTCAAATGACGAGAGAAACTTGATATTTTTCCACCCATAGAATATGTTCTATGGGGTGTACATACAGGAGATTATAACAATACTATGTGTGGCTGATATTGTGTTTTTTTGTGTTTGGGTTGATTTATTTTATTTACAGTGGAATTAACTCACATAACTTAAAATGTGTTTTCACTTAGGACAAATGTAGACAGATTATAATTGTGGTTAGACTTTTATTTTTGAAATCCCACAAAAGGGCTGTTATATAAAACCCAAACCACACCACTTTGGTTTTGGCTGTATGCACAGATAAAATGGAAAATATCTTTGTCAGAGTATTTATTTTTTCAATGAAACCGGTCTTAAGTGATACTGGACGTCTGCTCTCTTGATACCAGTGGTTCCAGTCGGCTATTAATGGCCACTGAGGAGCAGAACGATTGAATAGCGAGGATCATTGTACTGTTGTCAGACTGGTTGGGCAGCTCATAATCCAACGTTTCTGAAGCGAGGCTAACTCAAACAGAGGAAGACACATATTGTAAGAGGATGTTGCTTTTGAAGGTACTGGTTAAGACGTGTTAGTTTAGCGACAAATAGCTGAGATTAAACAGCTTTAAGAGAAACTACAGCGTAACAGGGTAAATATTTTAACTGTTAGATATAACCATGAAACTTCCCGAGGTGGTTACTTACAGTAAAACAACTTTTTTTTATTTATTACAAGTTTTCTTTTTGTTTAAACATGCCAATGAGGGATTTTTCTTATGAAATATGTGCTGATTCTCATGCATTGCCAGAACAGATACTGAACCTTGGATGAAGCCATGCAGGCTCAAGTTCATTCTTGTCTCATTGTGTTGACACATTAGAGTGAATGGATTTCTTTGAGAGGGAATCTTTGGGTGTCTTTTTAATAACTCCATAAATAAGAAAATAGTTAAAAAGACATGACTTTGGTTCCAGGAATGAAATGTTCTTTAAATCAGGCTGTGAATGATTTATGAACAACCACCTCTGTCAAAAGCCTCAGAATGTAGATAGGAATGGTGGGGAAGGTTTTGGTTATTGAAGTGCTACAGAAGGGCAGATTTGTGGCTCAGATTATGAGAAGAAAACATTGAGAAAACGGCATTTAAAGATACGTTTCAATACATGTTGTGGAACACTACTGGTGTTTGAAGTGGAATATCACCATTACACTTTCCCAGTGGATCACATACCTTAAAACTATATTATTTTGCAATACATGTTATGTTCAGATAAGAAGATTAAGCATTATCTGATGCTAACCTTTGGTGATTTGAGGAGAAATCTACAGACACAAATAGACAAAGTTATTAAAATAAACTCCTTCAATGTGAGTTCTGGGTGTCTTAATCTAAATGTTATTGAAGCAACGCCAACATTCTCAAAATAGACCATTGCATTATATGTTATGTCAGTGGAACAAAGGTCACTGTATCTCAACCTAACATGTTTTCTAATCCCTTGTCTCTTTCCCCAGCTGTTTATTCGTAGAAAGCTCGTATAGCTTTCCAAAACCAGGCAAAGGATGACAAACATCTCACGATATCTTGTCAACGTAAGTCTAATTGTCTCATAATAAAAATGAACAGAGATGCCTTCCTCTTCAAGTTTCCTCACCCTCCTTTATCTTCCTGTTTGCAGCACCTGCTGACATTCTCTCTCAAGGATGGTGAGGTGATCAATGTGGAGGAGGCCCAGGCCCGGCTCTCCTTCCTGGCTCAGAGCAAAAAGCTGTGGAGTCAACAGATGTTCCTGGATGTTGGAGTTAAGGCCGTTCAACTCCGAGACATACAGAACCAGGTGGGAACAGATGCATGATGGTCAAGAAAGATGGTGTGAAAAGCTTGCATGCATACTGACGTTTAGCATCATGTTTTTGTGCAGGATGAGCTGGAGAACTACCCTTTCGCATCCATCTTCCGCTGCGACGCCGTACACGAAGAGAAACACTTCCCGTCCCTCCTCCAGCTGGTCTGCCAGAGTGCAGATCAGAAGAAGCCCGACATCCTCTTCTTCAACTGCGAGAATGTGAAGGTGAGTAATGACGCCTGAGCTTCCTCCAAACATGTGCGTCACTTTTTTATTTGTCTGTACAGTTCAGGTTTCACGAGTGATGCCACTTCCTAATTCTCTCTCTCACAGGCACAGCAAATCTGTGACGACATCGCACGCGCAGTTTCTGCTCCTTCCACCGGCAGGAGTAAGAAACCTGATGCCCTCAGGTACAGTGAATGTCATGGTCACAAAACAAATCTGTAAAGAAAACGTAAAAATGAAGACTTTAAAACTAGAAACCATTCATTTTATATCAGTTCTTGTTAAAATACACGCTTAAAAGTGTCTAATTTCCATGTCTCATTGTGTTTTTAATGAAAGAAAGTGTGTCTATGAGTGTTTGTTTGCATTCATATTGTATAGGAGGAGGTTCAAAAGACAGGCACTGACAATACATGACCACTCAGACCAATCTCCACATTACACTGTTTGCGGTTCTCCTGTTTTCTGCTGCTATTATGTAACATTTTCCACTGATTCAAAGCATCCACCTGTCTGTGAATGAGTGGGAGAGAGAGGACAGGGTAAACAGCTGAGCGAGAGAAAGACCTGCTTTACCGGTTTTGGCATAACTTAGGAAGGTGTGACAGATAACAAGGACGTTGTGACAGAAAGCACAGAGAGCAGAGGAGGGAGGATGGCGGCAGCGCTGTGCAGTCTGTGGATCTAACCTGAACGGATTACCTGATTTTTAAACCACTATTTGTATTTAAGGACGTTTAAAGGACATACTAATGTGGTAAGACCAATTGGTGGCTGTTTTAGATGCTGATTCTTAAGTAAGTTTGATTCAACACTCTTACAGGTCTTTGTAAAGTTTGATTCAACACTCTTACAGGTGTTTGTATAGTAGGCAAACATGCAAAAAGTGTGTCCACCTTTCCATTTAAACTGGTTTATTGCTTGCTTATTTGTGTGAGAGTTTAGATAGAAGCACAGTGAAGTCATGAGAAAGCTCAGTCAGAGTGTTTACAGTACGTTCAGAGTGGAATAAGGGCTGCGGGGTTGAATTTCACACGCATCTCGTTTTATCTGTTGATAGAGGAGCGTGTGATCTGGCTCACTACACAAATATGTCATCGTGTCCTGCATTCAAAATCAGGATGAGCCTGTCTGTGATCCAAAATGTGTGAGACTACTTTATGGGTGTTTCCCTTTTGTCGTGTGGAGTAAAAAGCGCCCATCAAAACGACGGCTGTCAACATCACCTGCACTGTTGTTAAAGCTCTCCTCTCGTCCTCTAGGCTTCCTCAGAGTGGGGGGGATATGATCGACCCGTATGAAATCCCAAGCCACCCCATCCCACATGCTCCAAACGCCCCTCCAGCCAACCCTCCACCTTACCCTGGACCCAGAGGTAAGCAAAACAACAAACAATGTTCACATGAATGCTTGTGTTTGATTGTAGAAGTACAAGTATTTGGAGGGATTTGATAAGATGAGAAGGGAAAGAGAGAAGCGAGAGGTATTTAGGAGCACAGAGATTGCTTTGTGTGTTTATGTGTGTGTGTAAGGGGGAGGTGGGTTTCAAGGGTAAAGGGGGCAGGGATTCCTAATGCAGGAGAAACCAAAGCTATGAGTGGAAATGGATGAACTGAATCCTATCTTCTCTTCCCAAACAGCGAACGGCATAAACGGCGGGCAAGACATTTCCTTCCTGCGAGCAGAGAGAGAAGTGGTACGTCACATTTAGGTCTATGATGTCACATTTTGCTGTAATTCACATCTGGACAGAGTTATAAACTGCTTATTTCATTGTTCAGGGGATCCTCAATCACTGCTTCGATGACATTGAGAACTTCATGGGCAAGCTGCAGCAAACTGCGGACGCTGCCACGGTGCTCAACATGAAGAAGAAGAAGAAGAAGAAAAGTAAAAAGCAAAGTGCTGAAGGTAAACAGAGATGCATGGACTGTTTTGCACATGATACTCAAGTTGAAATCACACTGCTATGGATCCTGATGCTCGGTTTTCTTGTGTTTTTCTCTGAATAACAGAAGACTTACTCACTGCAAAAGCCCGCCCTCCAGCAGAGGAGGAATTTGTCGATATCTTCCAGAAATTCAAATATTGCTTCAGCCTGTTGGTGTGTATACAACCATGACACGTTTCCCTATATGTTATCTTGCTGTGACACATAGTAAATGACTCTATTTATATTTTTGAAGGCTCGTCTGAAGTCAACAATCTCCAACCCTTCATCGGAAGAGCTCGTTCACCACGTATTCAAACCTTTGGATATGGTGAGTGCTTTAACCTCCACGCCTCCACCGGGCAACACCTGTTGTTGCTGTTGCTGTAAACACAAACACAGCTTAAAATAATACTGAGGAAGACGTGATACATATATTTATATAGCCTATTATTATTCAATAGACAGAAATAATTATATACATAAAAGGGGGTAAACAATTGCAGCATAGCACAGAACTAAGTCATACATATAAATATGAAGAGAATAAAATTAGAATGTGAAAAGACAATTACATCAAAATAAAGACATGAGTACTAAAATACATTATTATAAATATATTGAGTCAATCAAAGTTGTATTTCATTATTCTCAACATAACTTTTCATAAGCAAGAGTTAAAGAAGGTGACAAATATCTTTAAATAAATCTCACACTTTTAAAAATGTTGGCAGCAGATAAGCAGAGGAAAAGGTTGTAGATAAAACATGTCAAATATAATCGTTGTTTAATTGACTATTTAGGTTATATACAATTGTATTGTCTGCATGTTTGCCTCAGAGGTGATTGAGTACAATGCAACTAAAGCAAGTATATGTCATATCAATGTATGTGTAAGTGTTCATTGTATTTAGTACAGAAACTACATCCAGTATGTACACAGGGGCGTTCCCTGTCAGATAGCCTCATAGAAACTCAGAGTGCTCAGCGTTTGTTCAGGCTGTTTAACATGGCAGTATTTGTATGCTGGTATGTGTTCTTGGTACACTTTGTGAGATATTTGGTCTAGATTTAAGCTCTCACTACCAAAAGGGCACATCACTGTCCCCTGGTTGCTGCTTTAAATCACACGGTGAATAACAGCTGTCAGAAATAGGATATGTTCACACAGTTCTCTAATTAAAGTGACAACAGTAATTGCAATGTGGCCTATTCATTTAATTGTTTTAAAATGTGAAGCATGAGGCATGGAACTGAAGGTGTGCCTGGTATGTTTGATATAACATTAGAGTAATGAGTTATGACTATGTCATAGAGAAGCAAAGGGCGCAAAGGGCGTGTTTGATTTGTGCGTGAATGGAAATAGCTTCATATTTGTAGGACTGTGCCTTCTGTTGTTTGTTCTGGGATGCATCCATTAGGCGTGTGTGTGTGTGTGTGTGTGTGTGTGTGTGTGTGTGTGTGTGTGTGTGTGTGTGTGTGTGTGTGTGTGTGTGTGTGTGTGTGTGTGTGTGTGTGTGTGTGTGTGTGTGTGTGTGTGTGTGTGTGTGTGTGTGTGTGTGTGTGTGTGTGTGTGTGTGTGTGTGTGTGTGTGTGTGTGTGTGTGTGTGTGTGTGTGTGTGTGTGTGTGTGTGTGTGTGCGTGCGTGTGCGCATGTGCGCACGCGTGCGTGCGCTTTTAAAGAGGCCCTATTATACTCCTACTTCGGTAAAATAGTGACGTCACTATGTAACACTCGCACTTCTATCGGCTAGCGCTCCAACACAATGTACGTGATAGGCTAAGGGGCGGGACATGTCTAAGCGGTTGACCAATCACAACAGACTCGGACAGCTAACCAATCAGAGTTTCTGGTTTCACACCCTTTCTGAGGCTCTTCTTAGATGTTCACCATCAGCCCTCGTTTCTGCCGACTGAGATCATGAACAGTGTTTTGTTTGATGTGTGTGTGTTCAGATGGTGAAGACCACAGGGGGGCCTGCGCTCGGGGGCTCCGTGTCCAGCCCCGCCCTCACCAGCTCGGCTGTGTCCCTGCTGGACGACACCCTGAGCGACGGGGAGAAGCAGCTGTGGACGTCTCTGGGTCCCAACTGGACGCAGCCACGGTCAGTACCAACGTGCAGGGGTGACAAGAGGGACTACACTTATTCAAGGATCTAGTTTTATGAATTCACATCATCTATTGGACCTTTGTTGACATTTCATGGTGCAATCAAAGTATTAATTCTTATCTTACCTTGAGCCAGATGTCTGTTAATTAAAAGTGAAATATATCAATTATTGCATGATCATTCATCTCTCATATTATGCATTTTATTCACTGACAACCGCTGCATGAAAACATCAAACATACAGTGTAAGATGTGCGCAATACTCTAAAGTTAAATTGGGGAAGTTTATTGTAATAATTACTTCCTCCAAGCCAACAATATAATCATGTTGGCAAAATTAAACACATATTTAAAGGGCTTTCTCTGGCATATAAAACAGGATCAGAATCTTTTGGCAAATTGTGTTTAAATATGTACAAGACATTTGATCGGCAATGCTCTGGATTTACAAAAATAGAAATTACAGCTAGGAAAAATGACAACAAACTGGACCAATAAAGGTTTAGCATCGAAATATTATCGTTCTGTCTATTGCTAACTTGGTCATTTAAAATGGTAAAGATATTTTCCTCTTAGCACAAAGTAGTAGCGACAGGCAGCTTTAAAACCAAGATTCAATCTTTTGTAAAAACTTCCCAACACTGGGTTAGGAATATTAAAAGTCATCTGTCTACGTTGCTGTAAAATGTACACTTCCCTACTCTGTGACACTTAAAGGATATCTGATTTCTGATTTACCATAGTTTTTGTTTCTTAAGTTTAACCCAAGTGACTGTGTGTTTGCTCACAGCTCTCAGCTCCGAGGGCCCGTCGCTCCCTACACTCCTGTGTTTTTGGACGGGTGGAAACCGGAGGCCTCGAGGGCGGACGGGCAGGTTTGGGAAGATCCGGTCGAGTCACAGCACAAATATGACGCCCTCCGAGTCAAACCAGAGGTACGGAATACCTGCTGCGAGTCACACGGCTCAGACACTCGCTCCATTGTGTGCGTCTAGAGGAAAGAGCACTGGGAATATGAGTGTGTATAAGTACAACACGGGGGTTGAACGTAATAACAGACACACAATACCACGTGAAGATCAAGTAAACACTGGAGCTGAACATTCCTGTAGAGTGGCCTCAGTTCACGTCGCAGTCAGTGGTCTCAGTTCACGTCACAGTCAGTGGTCTCAGTTCACGTCGCAGTCAGTGGTCTCAGTTCACGTCGCAGTCAGTGGTCTCAGTTCACGTCACAGTCAGTGGCCTCAGTTCACGTCGCAGTCAGTGGTCTCAGTTCACGTCACAGTCAGTGGTCTCAGCTCACGTCACAGTCAGTGGTCTCAGTTCACGTCACAGTCAGTGGTCTCAGTTCACGTCACAGTCAGTGGTCTCAGTTCACGTCACAGTCAGTGGTCTCAGCTCACGTCACAGTCAGTGGCCTCAGTTCACGTCACAGTCAGTGGTCTCAGTTCACGTCACAGTCAGTGGTCTCAGTTCACGTCACAGTCAGTGGTCTCAGTTCACGTCACAGTCAGTGGCCTCAGTTCACGTCGCAGTCAGTGGTCTCAGTTCACGTCACAGTCAGTGGCCTCAGTTCACGTCACAGTCAGTGGCCTCAGTTCACGTCACAGTCAGTGGTCTCAGTTCACGTCACAGTCAGTGGCCTCAGCTCACGTCACAGTCAGTGGTCTCAGCTCACGTCACAGTCAGTGGTCTCAGTTCACGTCACAGTCAGTGGTCTCAGTTCACGTCACAGTCAGTGGTCTCAGCTCACGTCACAGTCAGTGGTCTCAGTTCACGTCACAGTCAGTGGCCTCAGTTCACGTCACAGTCAGTGGCCTCAGTTCACGTCACAGTCAGTGGCCTCAGTTCACGTCACAGTCAGTGGTCTCAGCTCACGTCACAGTCAGTGGCCTCAGTTCACGTCACAGTCAGTGGTCTCAGTTCACGTCACAGTCAGTGGTCTCAGTTCACGTCACAGTCAGTGGTCTCAGTTCACGTCACAGTCAGTGGTCTCAGTTCACGTCACAGTCAGTGGCCTCAGCTCACGTCACAGTCAGTGGTCTCAGTTCACGTCACAGTCAGTGGCCTCAGTTCACGTCACAGTCAGTGGTCTCAGTTCACGTCACAGTCAGTGGTCTCAGTTCACGTCACAGTCAGTGGTCTCAGTTCACGTCACAGTCAGTGGTCTCAGTTCACGTCACAGTCAGTGGTCTCAGTTCACGTCACAGTCAGTGGTCAAATCTGTATTTAAATGGTATGTTTGTGATGAAATGGCCTTGTATTCCTGTGCTATTTCCCAACGCTTCTAAGGCTCCATGAGATGATTGTCGAAGGCCGAGTTTCTGCTGATGAATGCGTTTGCAATTCAAGAATTTGATAATGAGCATATTTTGAGTCACCTAATTCTTGAAGGCTTACTCACAGAAGAGGAAACCGTAAAAGCTGTGTGCATGACTCTTTTAATTTGTCAACCACTCCCCTCCCTGTGTGTGATGACCCCTCACCTGATTCACTCCACCCAAAAGTGCCTGTGTTGTAAATTCATTCATAAATGTCCAACCTTTTTTACCCCCACCAGCTGCCAACTGGCCCTCCAGAAATCCACATCAGTGATGAAACGTAGGTCTTCTTCTTTAACAAGCATATCAATCAGCTGCTAAGACCCCCCCCCCCCCCCCCCCCCTCCTTGTTCACATGATAACAGAGTCTGTTTTCTCCTCTCAGAGACGACAGTAAACTCCCCCCCGAGCCGGACAGACTCTACAGCTGCACGTACGACTTCATCGCGAGGAACAGCACCGAGCTCTCCGTGCAGCAGGGGGAGACTCTCGAGGTAATGAAGTCAAGTACAGTGAGATATGTTCGTGGTGCATTCAGGGACCCAGCATGAGGTTTCATACACCCAGTGCTGGAATGTAACTAAATACATTTACTGTAGTGTACCTACAGTCGTACCATTCTGAGTTACTTCTACTCAATTACATGTGAGAGACATGTATTGTACTTTTTGCTTCACTACATTTGCCTGACAGATTAAGTTACTAGTTAACTAAACCTTGAATCTACACATGTCGTTTTAAACATGTTTGATCAACTGAAAGATGAAAAGTTAATCTATGGGTTTAGAAAATGTTCCTAGTTCTTAAACTAATTGCTCTTAGGTTAGCTTTAGAAACTCATGAACAGCTGACCATGTATGGATATGTATTTCACACAGGACACATTCATACAAAGATAAGATGGTCTTTTAGAACATGATGCATTGCTGTCATTTAAACTACACAATAGTATCTAATCCCAAAACATCATGTAGTAAAACTGACAAGGTGCATGTTTCTGTTGCTTGTGGTGGATTGTTTTCACAGTGTGGTATTAGTACTTACCTAATTAAAGGACGTAAATCCGATTTACAGGTGATAGAATCGTCCAAGCGCTGGTGGAAGTGTCGTAATCGGTTCGACCAGATTGGATTCGTCCCCTTTAACATCCTGGACCCCTTGACTCACGTCGACAGCCCCGTCCACAACAGGCCTCCCAGTGTAAGACACACAAACACACACATAACCACAGCCACAGAGGTATGCTCTCACCTGTACATACCTGACCTCTGTTCTCCTCATTCCTGCAGGCTCCAGTTCCCCTCGCCAAGACTTTCTCTGTGGTCCCTCCCAGCCCCCCTGCTCTCCCCCAGGCCCTCACCCACTCCCTCGCCCACTCCCCCCAGCGCCCACGCAGCTTGCCGCCTTACAGCCAACACAACCAACACATATCGGCTGCAGAGGACCCAGAGAATAAAGGTAGGTGTATGTGTTTGTGGAGGAGTTGGCAGCTTCAAGATTGTGACAACGTAGTTTGGATACACTGAGCAGCTCGAGCTCAGTAAAGACCATTCTCCTAGTTATTTATCAAGATTCAATGCTTTGTAAATTCATAATATATGTTGCTGCATTTGTAAGTTATCCAAATTATGCAAGGAATTCGGAATAAAGGGGGAAAAAGGTCACAGATGTCAGAAAAGGTTTACTTAATTAATAAATAATAATAGTAATAATAAAATACGTTTTTAATAAAAGTTTAAAGACTGAATTGGATGGCAATTTTTGTACAAGAAAAATATATTTAAAATAGTACTTTTTCTTCACTGCTTTTAATGCATAATTCGTTTTTAAATGCTTTTTTAAAATGAATTTTAACCTGTTTTTGTAAAGAGTCTTTGATCTTTTTATGATTACTATTATTATTATCACACCAGAAAGCTTATCATTATTGTGTATTTCAGTATGTAATGAAGTCCCTTCTCCTCTCTGCAGTCATGCTGATGAATGACGAGCTGCTGCAGAGGCTTGCCAATGGGAAGACCCACCTGAACAAACCCCTGGTGATCCCCCGCTCCTCGGAGACCTCGGCCCCGCTGGACTACCACTCCCCTCCGGACGAGGTGGCCGAGTGGCTGCGGGGGAAGGGCTTCAGCGAGCCGTGAGTCAGCGTGTTTACACTGTGGGAGTTCTCCCTGTCAAATGGCATTTTACTACCCTGAAGTCAACATAGGGTAAACGGGAATACACAATAGGAGGGTTTTTCCTTAGTACATTTACTCCAGAACTGTACTTAAGTACTATTTTGACATACTTGTACTTGAGTATTTACATGTATCCTACTTTATACTTCTACTCTACGTTATTACAGAGGGAAGTACAACACTTTGTTAGTATATAAGTATTTATTTAATGCTACATACCTTTATACCTTAACTTCAGCACATTATAGACTAGAGGGTTAACAGTGCTTTTTTTCTCCACTACATTTGTTTTTGGTTTTATAGTTACTTTTTTTTTACAAATGAAAACCAAAGATATTCTAATGTGATGTTCTGCAGTACTGTTGTACTAATAAACAATAGTATTTTAAGTAACTGGGTTCCACATTGATAACTACAACATGTCATTCTGCTTAAAAAAATACTTTTGATACTTTAAGTAACATTTTGAATTCTGGACTTTTTTTTGTATTGATAGCCTGTATATCACTACTTTTACTTAAGTGAATCATCTGAGTACTTCTTCCTCTGCTAGTGTCTGACTTTGGATCCTCTGTTTTCTCCTCAGAGCGGTGTCGTGTCTCGGGGTGCTGACGGGCGCTCAGCTGTTCTCCCTGAACAAAGAGGAACTGCGCTTGGTGATCCCAGAGGAAGGAGCCCGCGTGTACAGCCAGCTCACCGTGCAGAAAGCCCTGCTGGAGGTCAGTACAGCACAATTACATCCTGTTTCCATCAAAGTTAATCAATGACATAACTATTGCGAAAGCACAAAGCACATTTCACAATAAATAAGGTGGTCAATATTTAAGAAGGTGTAGAAAAACATGTATGACTACTGCCGATTGCTACAAACTATTTATCACATAAATTGCACTCATAAATAACCGCAGAAAAAGACACATGTATTTTATTACATTATTTTAGGACAGTAGCATAGTAAAATGCATCTAGCCTAGAAAAGTGTGCCCATTATATGATATATTTAATTTAACTTTTTCTGAAAATGTAACAGGGAAAACACTGGGGTAGGAATGTTTAAAATTCATCTTTCTACATTGCTGTAAAATGTACATTTCCCTACTCGGTGATACTTAAAGGATATCTGATTACTGTTGAACCATAGTTTTTGTTTCTTAAGTTTAACCCAAGTACAATAAGGAAACATAAATATTACCAAATAGATAATTTACCCAGTATCAGAAACATGGAAAAACTGTCATGTCAACCAGCATAAATTGTCTTTCTTCACTTGTCGATGCTTCTTTGAGTCGGTTTATTTTGTCTTCACTGTCATTTGTGAATGACTTCAACATTAGCATGTTAAATTATGCCTGTTATTCCGCCTGGTATGCCTTTAAACTGTGCTGCTGGGGGCCTTTTACCTGAGTCATGCCTAAGTAAATATATCTTTGTATTTCCACACGTGTTGATACAAATATTGCGTCTTTAACCTTCTCTGCGCCTGCCTCCTTCAGGATGCCAGGAGGGCCACAGAGCTGGAGGCGGTGATGGAGAAACAGAAGATGAAGGTGGATCTGAAAGTGGAGAGCAGCACGTTCTGAGCAGCAGCGTCTACATCGTGAAGAGCCTCCCATGAAGGATTGTTCTAATAGTGTCGTCAATCAAGACAGAAGACATTTTTTACAATATAGTATAGAATAAACATTGGACAGCTACTTGACTATCTAACATTGTCTGTGAAGCTAAAAAGGTCATTTTGACTCTTTCTTCATCCTAAAACCAAAGTATTTGGCAGCGAATCAGAAATGTAAGATTTGAATAGTAGCGGACGCTGTGCCAATTTAATATTTTAACATTAAAGGTGGGGTAGGTAATTCACTTCAGAAACACTTTGTTATATTCCATGGAATGCTCTTAACATCCCGATAGCAATGAATATATTAAATGCTTTGACAATAAATACATAAATCTGTGGAAGCTGTAGTACTGTAAAAAGCACGACCAATCATCTGAGCCGGCCCGGCTAAAATAACTGGATGGCCTACCTGCCTGTCAGCCTTCCATCTGTGCACAAACTTATCTCGTGCCCTCATTGGTCATGTGCGCGTCCGTGTGTGTTGGAGGAGGGGCTCTATAAGGAAGTCTGAAGGAAGGGGCAGATTTTTTCCGGTTGTGTACTTTCAAATTCTAGCGCACTCGAGCTGGTTTCTCCATTCTTACCTACCCACCCTACCTTTAAAAGGACACCGTTTGTAATGTATAGTTACATTTTAATGTGTATAGCTTCTTTGTGTTTAGTTTCTAGTACTAACTTAAATGAAATGTATTTATCTTTGTTTGTATAATACTTGTAATACTCAACCATTCCTTGACTTTGGTAAGAAGAAAAAAGGCCAGCACACGAATACAAATTTAAATGGCGATATTTGTTTTAATGGAGATTTTAAAGAAAGATTTCCAGCAGAACATAAACAGATATGACTTCACACAGAAGGTAAAGCAATGCATCCATTACAATCTGTTTGCAATTATAAATGTATTCAGAGGAACTTGTTGAAACTGGGCCAAAATGAAACGCTAATAAAAATGTATGTACAGATATAGCATCGACTTTCCAATTCATTTCTGAACCTGCTGCTTCACACGCCAACAACAACAACTGTGTGGGTTTTAAATACAAGAAAATCAAGAGGGGGAGAAATGAGAAAACAAAGAGACATGCCACCAAAACAAATCCAAACAAGCATTTACTCTTCAAAACAACAAGACCCCCTTCACTACTGGCAGCGTAAAATAAAACTTAGTTAAGTTTAAACAGAAAAAAGGGGACATGAGGAAACATAAGGATGGTACTTAAACTCGCAACTTAAAAACCATTTGGGTCTGAATTCCCTAAAAACGTTAACAGGGCTTAAACTAAGAAAACATGTGGATAGACATTCATGAACTGCACTCAACAACTCCTGCAGTTTTCTGGGTGCTTGTGGAAATAAATCTTTAAAAAAGAAATGGAAAATGAAGGCCTACAAAAGAATCAGAAATAAGATATTCAGACTGTATCAAACGGTAATAATAAAAGGATCAGTTACACTCTAAGCTTCAGTCCGGCAGGCCGTGTGTTTATGTGTTCAATGCAGGGTATTTATCAGGAGATGTATTGATACAGACAGCAACCAAATCACAGATATGGGCATCACAATACACTCCACTACTGATCAATATCTAAATCCCCACCAATCCAAATGCTTGTGATCGATCTGGAAAATGTTATACTTCTGGTACTGTGGAAAGAAAGAAAGGAGGAGAACAGAGGGATGGAGGCGGGACTGTGTGACATTAGGTTATTCTTTTTTAGAAATGGACAGACAGACGGACAGGGAGGGAGACAGGAGGAACGCTGTGAGTCGTGATGGATGGAGTTTGGTCTTCAGAGGTCCCCCGTGTCCCGGTCCTCCCCCCGACGGGAGTCCGACCGGCCGTTCTCCCCCTCCCTCTTCACCCCCTCCCTCTTCTCCCCCTCTCTCTTCACCCCCTCCCTCTTCTCCCGCTCCCGTGACCGCTCTCTGGAGGAGCGCTCTCGGTCCCGGGACGACCTGAGGACGAGACAACGAGATATTCAGATAAGTACGAGCACAAAGAGAGATTATTTGGCTTTTTCAGTTATTATGCTCCAAATATCTGGAACAAACTCCCAGAAACCTGCAGGTCCGCTGCAACTCTTACTACTTTGAAATCCAGGCTGAAGACTTTTCCCTTTCCCGCTATTCACATCTCACACGGCACTGTAACTTTTATTCATGTACCTATGTTATTCATGTTTTATTGTCTTTGCTTTTAAATGCCATTTTATAATATATTTCTGCTGCACTATTTCTTAATGTCTTTCATTTTTGTAAAGCACTTTGAATTGCCTTGTGTTGAAAGGTGCTATATAAATAAACTTGCCTTGCCTCATGACCATGTTTTCAATGTGTGTATTTACTTGTGTCTGGAGCTCTGCTCGTGGCTGTGGCGGTGTCCTCGGCTGCGGGAGGTGGAGCGGCTGCGGTGCCGCCTCCTCCTCTCTCTGGAGCGGGAGCGCGAGCGCCGCTTCTCTCGTGACGTGGAGCGTGAGCGCTTCTTTTTGCGGTCACGTGAACGGGATCTAATGAGGAAAAAAAACAATTAAAGCACACACGCACCAGACTAACGTTGGCAATAACTTAGGATTTGGCCCATTAAATCCAATTTTCAGTGTGGATAAATGGAGCAACTTTCTTACCTTTTCGGCTCTTTGCTGCTTGATCTGGTCCTATGAAATAAGCAGATGAAAAACCATGAGTTTGAAAAGTAAAACCTACATCTCATACAACAAATGAACTTCACTAGGGGTTTTAAAAGCACTCACGTCTTCTTCATCTTCTCCTCTTTCTCTCTCTCTTCTCGTCTCTTCAGGCGCTCCTGGTTCCTGGTCTCCTGCTTCTCGACCACGGTTTTCTGATCAAAATAAAAAAGTAGTAACATTAGAAGTGACACCAATTTTTTTAAACCTAAAGACAGTTTATGACCATATATATATATATATATATATTTATTTTTTTGTAATTGTTCTTAATAACCAGCCCGATGATTCAGGACTCTTGTGCCCATGCGTTTCTAGTGCACACGGTATAACAGGCTGAAGCATACCTTTAGTTGGTCCAGTTTCTCTCTGATCTGGATGAAGCCCAGATGAAGCTTCCCGCCAAAATGGTCGGCCAAACGGCGATCGTTGTCATGGAGACCCAAGTAAGCGGAGCACACCTCGCACACCCGGAGCTTCTGCTGCTGGAAGCTGGAGGCTGGCATGGAGTTTCTGTACTCTTCCTGAGGAGAACAAAATGGAGAAGAGACGCATTCAAAAAGGATGAGAAGGCTGGAGTTACTAATATAAAGATTATCAGCACATCTTCAGTGGCACGTCACCAGCACTCCCTCCTCACCTCTGCATCCTTCTTCTTAGTTCGGACCTTCTCCACTTCCTGCAGGACTTTCTGAGCCTCGTCCACGTTCCCCTCAGCTCCGAGCTGCTCGGCCTTGGCCAGGAGCTTCCCTATTTCCTCATTCAGCTCATGGACCTTCTCTGCCTGAAACACAGCAAACATCACAATTTACATCCTATTTGTCCATCCCAAAACAAACTGGTAAAGAAACCTAGACGCAGCATTAAAAAGTGACTTAATCTTAAATAACGCCTTCAAATTGTCCTTTTCCATATCAATTTAACTTAGATGTCAGAAAACAGTAACTAAAAGTCCATAGTCATGAATTTAAACTTCTTGATTGAGAGGTTGAACAGATTTTGCTGCCATTTGCCAAGTATTTTTATTTTTGATACCTTCAGAATCAGAATACCTTTATTAGTCCCACAGAGGGGAAATTTACATCGTTACATTTAATCGTTAACTGAAAAACTGAGTAGTTTTTCAGCTCTAAATATAATATATTTCTTTAGAATTCTTTGGTCACTCACCTTTGCGGCCACCTCAGCACTGATCTCCTCTTGGGTCTCAGCCAGGCGCTTCTTGGCTAGTTCTGTCCTCCGGTCACAGTCGGCAATGAACGACTCCAGGTGATCCACCGCCTTTAAGAGAGCGAAGACGTGTCATCAGAAAAGAGTCAAATACATGGGCGTAGGAAGCATCCTCAATGTGGGTGGGACAATTTGACAGGGGGTGTGGGCAGGTGGTGGACCTCACCTCCTCTTGGGGGGTCCGGGGGCATGCTTTTGTTTTTTAAATGCATCAATCTGCTGCACTTTGAGAGCAAAATTAGGGACTAAATCTATGGATACATCTCTCAACACCCGTGTGAAACAGAACTGTAAACAGATTTACTTTTTCTTTATACATATTTTACAAATCACTCCCCTTTTAAACTGTATTTTTGTGTTGTCCTTCACCTCACTGAGCTGTAGTTATCAGCCTCTCAGTCTGACAGGAGAGGACTCTCCCTCCACCTCTTTAATAACAGCGCCTTATATCCGGGTGCTAGTGGAGCACGCTCGTGAACTGTTAGCGCCGGAGCCTCGCAGCGGGGAAACTGTGGCGAGCATAATTTTACAACTAAAGACACAGCTACACAAAAAACCCAGCATGTGTACGGCTCTGAGAATCTGCCTTGGTACAAAGTAGCAGTGAAAACATGGTAGGAATTTAATTGATTTGGGCATTCTCTCAATAAGCAAGTGGAATGGATTTGATAATGAAGCACTGACACAGCGCTCTACAGAGAGTGGCGAGTGGATAGACAGATTCACGGACTTTCCGCATAGTAAAAGTGGGGGGGTCTAAACTAATCATTTTAAAAGGTGCGGGAGACTTGTCCCACCCTCATATAATGGCTGCAACGCCCATGGTAAAATATGTTACTAGTTAGATGTGTATACATAGGCACACAGGAAACTGTAGGTAAGGCTTCTCAACGGATATATTTACGGCAGAAATTACTTACGTCAAGCTCAAAGAACATATCTCTATCCTTGGAAGCAATTTCATAATCTGCCCGAAGTGCCAGGTCATGGATCTTCGTGCACTCTCCCAGGTCCATACGCTGTCACCAAAACAAAGGAACATATCACTTAAAATAATATCAAACAGTTTAAGATCGCATGTTGTAGGTACATGGTTAAGTTAGCCTTTTTTTTTACATTTCACTGGTGTACTCTGCAAATATTTAGGGTGTGAGACAGAAATGGGTTACTTACAGTTCCAGACAGGATGTCATGTGGACAGCAGTTCAGAAGATGACTTTTGCAGACTCGGTCGTCGCTGAACTTGACCATCTGCCGCGTCTCATCGCCTGTAACAGTCCAAAAAACACCCAGTCAGAAAGACCTCACATATTTGTCATCAGGGGCGAGGTATTCAGTGCTTTAATATACATAACTGTAACAACATTAAATGGGCAGATATGTGTCGTTATAACTGCATTCAAGGATTTTGTGTCCACCTAAATGAGTGAAAACAAATTAATTTATGTTGTTAAAAGTTTGACATATATTTCATTTGTATAACAATATATAGTAATAGAGACTGTGCTACTACATTTATTTTCCATTGATGTTTCATGACTGAAGAAGGTAATGTGGCTCTGCGTGTGGATGTCCTTCTTTTTATTCTTGGTGCTTATCTTAGCCAAACCTCATTTTTAAAATATAGACATTTATGAACCTCAACTAAGTTTAACTTGTGATGAGGCTCACTGTTCACCCTGTTAATGTGGAGCATTATGAGATAAAGCACAGGTCAATAATAACTATAAGCTCGTGTCAAATAACTAGTGTGAACAGAGATGACTTTAGCTTTGTTTCTATGCAGGATGCAGGAAAGACTGCTATCATAAATGTAATAAGCAATGTAAACATTTCAGACAGATTTTCAAGGGAAGCCGTTAACATGTAAGAAACATTGAAAATAAAGTCAAAAGAAAAAACATAAAACAAAAGAACTCCAAGGAAAAAAATTAGTTTATACACACTGCGATCCGCACCACATACTGTACCCTTCTGCATCTTCAAGACCTCAGCTGCAGAATTTTAAACCCGCTGTAGAAAAGTATAAATGGGAACAGTTTTCTTGCCCATACCTGTAGTAAGAAGTTGGGAGTGATACACAAGTCAGATTGTAAATGATGTGTGCAAAGTTGTGGTTGTTTTTTTTCTGGATGTTTGTTAAAATTGCCTTCTGAAAACAGAGGAACTGCTCGTTTGGATTCTGCGCGACCAGACGTCTTGGCACAAGCTGCATTACACTACGCCAAATTAAATATCTAGTGCCACTGAAGATATACCCATTTGTGTGTTTAAAAAAAGTCTACAGTAACTTCCGGAAGGCAAACAAATGGTTGGGATATTCATCATAACAGCTTTAAAAATTATGTGTGACTCACGGCTCGATGAACATGAGGCTTTTCTGCAACTCCTTTGCAGATTGTTGTAGGCTGGCAAAGATACACTGAACCTTAATGAATAAAATAAAGGGGCCACAATTGTTCAGTTTGTATGCAACAAATGTATGGGAAGAATTTGATATAAATCTTATCACACATACATCCACAAGCTCACAACACAAATTCACTCTTATTGAGATTGAATTATCATTAATTAAAAATGATAATCCACAAGGCTGTATTTCTGTTCAATCATCAGGATGAACCTCCGATTTATAAAATGACAGCTGTCATTTCTGCCCATCAACAGCTGAGTTACACTTTAATGTTTGTATCAAAAAGGGCTGAAAACAATACAATTGTATTTTAGCAAGTCAAAGCTTTTTACTGAATACATTTATTTTTGGATTAATTTAGCTGATTACTGTTAACATATTACCATCCAAACAGATCGTCAGCTTGAAATGTAAATTTGGATTTACAGTTATAAAAATTAATTATCCAACAGTATACAAAAGTTACAATTAGCCCGGTCTTAAGCCATCTACACACTACAATTCTGCTTCCACTTTAGACTATTGGTTATAATGATTCATTATATAATCATTATGTAAACTGGCAGGGACTACTGCATAATATATAGCTTGTTGTTAATCCTATTCGGGGAGAGTTACTTGAGTAAGAATAGGAATACAGGACATTTTAGTGAAGTTGAATTATTTACTTCTTTCTGCCTTCTAATATCTGACATGAGCAATCACCAGCATATTACACGGGTAAAACAGTTATTTAAGCCTGCTGTAAAAACAGGAAAAACTGGTAGGTCCAATGTTAAGTTTAGCCTGCATGTCCTTGACATGTGACTCAATTATATGTATTGTGAATGTAATGCAGAGTCGTTAATGTGACCCACATAATTGGTTAGAATTGGACTAAAACCAGAGCATGTATACATTTCAGTATATCGCTCAATGCTAGGCCCATAGTGTTAGCTAGCCAGGCTACTAGCTAGGAATGTAGTAAACGACGAAACAAAAAACAATCTTAACATTTAAATTAACCCAAATGGATACAAACATTAAGTCCTTAAGTGTATCAGTAGACTTGAATCTACTGGATTGTACACAGCCCTCTGCAGTATTAGCTTGATCCATTCATGCAGGTCTGTCCATCACACACCAACACAAGAAGCCGCAGCAGTGGCTCCATCTTGGCTAGCTCTCTCAGCTAGCATTACAGCTACATCAACTCACCATCCCTCGCTGTTCCCATCAGCTGGTCGAGCAAAGCTCTCATTTGAGCTTGGGCAGACATTGTCGTGGGCCTTCCGTCGATGTAGAAAGCACCAGAAACAGTTCCTAAGTCTTTTTTGTGAAGTTAATTGATTCTTTTTTTTCGTCCAAGCATCGCCTCTCGCCGCTTTTCTCTCTTTCGTGAACTCGCCAGTTTCCGTTTTATTTGACGGAAATGACGAAAGGCCTTGTTTGTTTAGCCTACGTTAGAGGGCGGGATTAAGGTATGAAACCAACCAATCGTATGGCTTAAGAACAACAGAATGAACCAATCAGAGCTAATTGAACCCAACGCTGGACGCCATTGTGTTGTTTGCCCCGAACTTAACCTTTCAGGCAGCACCATCTGTCGTTCCCTGGTGTTTCCCCTAGCTTCAGGTTATATTAAAGTTTAGACAAGAGAACATTAATTATCCCTAGTTTCATAGTTTGGGGTTTTGGCATCTTCTATGCTGTCAATGTGTAACGTTGGCAGAGAGAAATTACTACCTGTTAGACAAACTCAGGGCAACAAAACCTTCCTTACTAGCTAGTGTGTATGTTTACGGAGCTAAAGTTGACAGGCAGTTGTTGTCAGGCCTACTACCTGTAGTTTGCCGCACCAGTGACCACTAAAGACGACAGTGGGGAACAAAGTAAGAACAACCTTTTTTGACTCTCTCTATTATTGATCAAAGCTCAAGTGGCGGGACTATTGCAATACAATCACGTTTACTTGTAAACTCATTCTTCTGTGGGCAGTGGCCTTTTTGTGCAACAAGTTAGCAAACTATCGTTAACCAGAGATTCACTTTCCTAACCCAAGCTAGCTAAAAAAATATCTCAATCAGACATTGAAATATACGGGGAAAACGTTCTTTTGTTGCGGCTATTTAGCTAACATCGCACGGTTATTTCAGATTTAAAATAATTATGCCAGTTAATAAGCTTCCTAACTCACGTACACAATGTTAAGGGTAACACGCCCAGTGTGCTAGCAAATGTGATGATTATCATTGTCATCACGGGTCTGTTTTTCTGCTGAGAAATCTCTGGAGTCAGAGCTGGCACGTATGAATGGGCTGAGATCTACAAAGGTTGGTGCAGCAGAAATAGCCAAACTGACAGACAGACACTGCTGCCTTTAGTATTCATGTTTCATTTACTATTATGTGAATACCAGATAGTTTTGTCTGCTATTATTGCCGGTTACTTTGACACTTGCAAATGTGTAGTTTACTCCCCAATAGATCAGGAAGCATCAAACTCTTTGCTATGTACTGACTGTGCAGTAGATAGATAGGGTCTTTTCATTTAAAGGGGCCCTATTATGCTTGTGTTTTTTTTCGCCCTTTCCTGTTTATATCGTTTTTTGTGCATTTAAATGGTCTGCAAAGGCTCAAATCCCAAAGTTCTCTCCCACACACCTCCATTGGACTCCTTTGTTTACTTCTTTAACCTAGTGACATCACTACGTAACACTCACACTTCTATTGGCTAAGAGTCCAACAAATTGTACATGATTGGATAAGGAGTGGGACATCTCTAAGCAGTTGACCAATCACAACAGAGCCAGCCCGTTATCCAATCAGAGCAGACTGGGCTCTGAAGTGTGAAAAGAGGTGCTGCAGTACAGACAGTATGAGACAAATAAAGACCTTTTGAACATTAAAGCATGTACACATGTCACAGTAGAGGCACCACACACACATCTGAACACGCAAACGAGCACAATAGGGCCTCTTTAAGTGTGCATTCAAGACTAGCATAACATTGAGGTTAGGATCTTAATGTAAGCTCTCTTCCCTGTTTAGTAGAATTGTGGGCTGGTAAATGCATTGAGGCTACAATGGAGACGACAGGCAGTGCCACTGAAGGCGACCCTCTGAAGAGCGGAGAGGACGGAGCAGAGACAGGAACAGCACCATCAGCAGCAGAGCTGAAGAAGAAGAGTTATAAGGAAGTCATCGGGCTGACCAAACTCACCCATTGGAGAACCGGATTCTTCTTCTTCTCCTTGTTCCTCTGCCTCACCATAGTGTTCGCCTTCTCCTTCATCCTCCCCTGTCCTGTCAGACCACAGTACCTTGTTGCTTGGAACAGGACCTTCACTGAAGCAGGTGTGTACATTTGTTTGCTTCTCACTGCCTGGTAGTGTTTTATTATTCACAGGACTTACTACTATTCTCTCCTTCTCTCACAGAAACATATGACTTCTTAGCCATAGAAGATGCAAACAAAGACAAGGTGATGGATGTCTTGTTTGTCCTGAAAGACACAGAACCCAGTCCGAACAAAACGTGTGCTAAAGAAGGTATAAAGAATAAGTTAATCAAACGCGAGGGATCAAGAGTTTGCTGTGTATTGCTTTTGTTTTGTGTGATTCAGACACACTTTTCTGTGTTCCAGGTCTGCCCTCTCCATGTGTGTTTGTGATGGCAGTGGACGGGACGCATGGAGAGACACTGTGGGAACAGCCGCTGGCTCCAGAGTTTCACTGGGCCCAGTGCGGTCTGGACGATGAAACCGGCAGAACCTGGGACTGTCTGCTGTCCCACTCCGACCAACTCACAGCTGTTGACAAATTCACTGGTTAGTGACTCATTGCTCTCTGTTTTATGTATAACATACATTACATCACATTTTCATAAAGCATTTTGCCATACAGCTTTTGTAAATGGCTGTTGTCCATGTTTTGCGTTCAGCTCATTTCCCCGTTAGAATTTGTTGTGACATTAAAAGCAAGGATCCAAAGCATTGCAAACTATAAAATAAAGAGGTTTTATCATTTAGAAATGTGGCTAAATATACTAAGCATAGTCCATCTGATGATCCCAGAGATGCATTTGAAACATTTGACAACATAATCTCTTACCACCTTTCTGCCATGGCTATATCCAAGGTCGAACATGAACTTTAACGCTCAAGGAAAGCTGTACATTTAGTTATAAAATCAAATGGATTCAGTCAGCCTGCCTGAGTGCCCTGTTCCTGTGGGATGTGTGTGTGCAGGGGAGGTCAGGTGGCAGCAGCCTCAGCTTCCTGGTCTGCGCAGCACCGTGCCCGTTCTGAGCGTCCCGGATCTGGACGGGGACAAGGTCAGCGATGTGGCTCTGGTAGCATCTGACGACACTCAGGTAAACATCAGTGGTATAACTTATGAATTAGCATCTATCCTGACACAGGGTACTTATGATGTATTATGGTTTGGATCCCTAAAGGTTCTGGGCTACTATTCCATCATTCAAGGGTGATTTTCACTTTAAATAATGTGTTTTTTTAGGGGGAGATTAGAATTTACATTTTTCTTTTACTATGTTCCATCTGAATTTACTCAGCAACATCTATATTGATTCTGACACTTCTACTGCCAACTCACAGGTGTATCATTGCTTTGATAACAAGATTATTCATATACCCCTTTTAGTTGTGAAAATACACTCATTCATTCTGGGCATGTCATTTTCGAGCCCGAGGCCTGAAAAATAGGCCCTGTGCTCAAGAGGTTAAGGCTATTTTTTTTCCTTCCTTTGCTCCTTTCTTACGGTGCAGGATCGAGTCATTTTTTCAAGTTCTTTTTTTTAATGCACCTGCTTTTAATGTCTGTTGTCATGTCTGCAGACTCAGCTGGTGTTCCTCTCAGGGAAGACGGGAGAACAGGTTGGTTCCTCTGTGGTTCTTGACTCTACAAAGATAGCCAATCATCTGCTCCACCGCACGGCAGCAGGGTCTTACTATGTACTACTGCAAAAAGGTCTGTATCTCAAATCAGGTATAACATAAAGTCGTGTCCATCTGCAGTTAGACCAGCTGATTTGAAGATAAGAAAATATGTACTTTATTAATCCCAAGTTGGGGAAAAAAATGGTTGCAGCAGCATTAAAACAAAACAAGGTATTGCACATAATAACAAATTCAAAGAGTAGAAAAAAACAATTCTAAAATAGAAACATCTGAAAATAGAAATAGAAATAAACCAGCATTAGAGAGTAAGAAAAATATACAGATGACTGGGAAGATAACAAATCTATACACTGTCTGACAAATAAAACACTATTGAAGGGCCAATATTCTGTTAACACAATATAAGCAGGATAATAATAATAAAAATTACGTTTCCTACAAGAAAAAAGCAAATTTACCTCCATTAAAACAGTTGGATGTATACTCTTAGATGCATTACACAGTAGTGAGTAATCCTGAGCTCATTCACAGACACTGGCTTGTATGGCCTGGCCCTGTGGAGGATTGCAGCTCAAGCTAAAGCCGGGATGGAGAATGGCCTCAAGAAGGACAAAGATTGGGAGAAGACTGCCAAGGCAACGTCTGGCCTCGTGCCCATGTTTGAGTAAGAATCAGAATATATTCACTTTTTAATTAAAAGCTTGCATTGTTGTGGCTTTAGCTGATGTTTATCTCTCCTCCGTAGATCTGATTCACTGCGACAGGTGCTGAGAACGGGAGAGACAGGAGACCCACCCAACCTGCTGCTGGTGACTGGGAACGAGGTGGCTCTAGTGGACGGAAAACATCCAAAGACACTGTGGAGATTCAACACCAGCTCAGTCCTCGGGTAACACATGTTTTTATGTTGCACATACGGATTCATTAGAGCTGAAATGAATAGTTTTACCAAAGTGCAAAGTGTTGTTTTTATCTTGGAATCAAAGTAGTAATGTCTTCATAACATAACAATATATTAAAACGTGATTTGTTAGCCACATCAAGATTCAAGGCTTTTATTGTCATTTGTACATAGCTGCAGTGTAGTTATGACAATGAACATCTTAGGTCACAGGCTCCTCTAACAGTGCAACACAATAAAACAGATAAAATAGTGAAGGTAAATACAATAAAATAGAATATAATAGAAATAGTGCAAGAATAGTCTATATACAAGTAATTGTAATATGATATATTAGATACATTTTTTAAGTTGTATAGTAGAACTGCATGTTTTCTACCCTCTCCTTTAATTATTTACTTTTTTTTCTCCTCTCAAAAAGTCCTCACAAGGACCCGATATAATTAAAAGTACATTTCTGTGTTCACTTCCTTTCAGCGAGCCCTCCTTCGGCCACTTTAACAAAGACGGGGTCCTGGATGTTGTGGTCGAGGAGGACATTGGAAACTACACAAAGAGGGTAAGACCGATGTAATGCCTAAAATGAATTTCCTGTGTGCAGCTTCTCTCGTATCGTGATGGATTTGAGTCACACTGTACTGTCTGTCTGGTCTGCAGGTGGTGATTCTGGATGGGAAGTCGGGCGGTGTGCTGTGGGAGGTCGACCTGCTGGCCAGTCCCAACTCACCGAGGCCCGGCGCTATACACACAACCAACTCCTTCTCCATCTTTGTGTTTTGGGGCATGATGCGCTCAGAGGCCAACTCATCTGTAAGTTCACTGTCTTTATTAAAACATGCATGTTGAAGGATTTCTCACAAGATACTAATCAGACTGAAATGTTTCATTCCAGGAACCGTTAGAAAGTGACCGACGATCTTACCTGCTCCACCCGCTCTACTCCAAAGTCCTCCTGCAGTCCACCAGCTTCCTGGAGCACATCATAACGTTTAAAGGTGATTTTTGAACTTAGATTTGAGGGAGACAGTGAAGTCTGCATGTCATTGGTATCAGCAGATAAAGGCTTTCAAATAAATCGACTAGATATGAACATTTCTTCCGATATAGAAGGGCGATTCGATGATGCCTATGTGACACGACCATTGAATAAGCGATTGCCAAAAAAAAATCTGCAAGGTTTCTATTTGCCATATCTGATAGTAAAATAGCTTTTTGATAAATATTTGCTTCAACACCACATATTTAATACCTTAACATTTTTTTGCAACTTGTGAAGTAGGTCGAATGTTCCTGGTTTTGCATTTTTTAGGATTTTCTTAGGGACAGCATCATACGAGCCTGATAAAGTAGGAGGAGTTTTCAGTTTTGTCTGAGTATTTTACATGAAAATAATTATCTGCATTCGGATAAAAACGATTAAGGCATAAGTAATATCAACACAAATCTAATATCCTTCATCCCCCTTGATTGCCCTATATTCTATCAGTAGTATTACCTTTTGTAATACATGTCAGAAATCAGTTATTCGTCTCTCAGCAGGGAAAATTAGAGTTACATGAAAAGGGGACAGTGCAGACAAAAGGCAAAAATAAAACGAGTAGACTTACATGTTAAATAAAGAGGCAAGCACAAGATAATGAAACAAATCACCGTGAATCAGTTGTTAGAGGGATAGGGACAAACCTTCTCTGTATGACTATTTGTTATTTTCTTCTTAGCCACTCTGTTGGAGGGTGGACGCCACGCCGCCTACATCCTGCTGACGGGCCCCGAGGAGTCCGAAGGCACCGTGGTCCTCAGCAAGCGGAAGCTGAAACACGACGTCCCCGGCAGCAAAGTCCTCCGCATCGCCACCGGAGGAAGCTCCGAGAGCAACGAGGACATCAAAGAGGCCTTCAGTCGTCTCCGCTTCAGCGATTGGTGAAAGGACCAACTTTAAAATGTCGAGTTTTTCCTCAGTGTTAAAAATAGTTTTGGCACAGCTGACTTTAGGGTGGCTTAAAAAAAACAAAGTGTGAACACTAGCTTTGACTTTCCCACTGCTGACAACCAAACAAGTCCTTTGTGTTCAGAGGCTTTATCTGCGAGGGCTGTTCCATTAATTTGGGCATTATATTTTAAGAATTGACCGCATATCATAAGTTTGATTTTAGATAAATAGCTGCTGACCTTTGACAATCACTGCTCTTTTCCTGCTGAGAAATCAATCAGGCGGTACTCTCTCTAGCACTTTCATGCATCGATGCAGAGCTCTTTTTAAATTTCAGTGGCTGGATTCTTATTTTTCAATCTATGCAACCATGCATATCACATTGGGCTTTATAAGTAGAAGGTGCAAATACAGGTGGTTGTTTCTGAGTATTTCAAAATAAGTGTTTGCTTTTCTTTGTGCCTTTTCTAAAATGTGTAGAGAGAAACTTGAAATATGACAGAAACCTTAAGTGATTCACTATTGGGCTGTTTGGTAGTCACTGTTGTCCATAAACAAGATTTGTGGACATTTCCTACTTAATCCAAGATGCTGTAACAGATAATGCTCTTTAACGCACATGCACTAAACCTGTGAGACACTCAAGGCTGAGTCTCAGATGTTCTCTGAAATAATGAGTTACTGCTGTGGGTTTTTTGTTTCTTTTGGGCTGTTTAAGTGTGCCTCTCTCAAAGATTTATATTAGTAAAAATATTTGTTTGCTGTACAAAGATATGTTGATACTTTGGGCCTTTTTCGGCTTTTCTTTCTGTCTTGATATGTTTAAATTTGAGCAGTAATATTAAACACTTTTAAATTAAGTGCTTTTGTTCATCTGAAATATGTCTTATTATAGGAGGAAATGGTGTGGATTTAATAAAGGACAAATTATTTATTTGACCTGTATTCACTATAGGAAAAGATAATGTGTTGTAATCTCTTTGAGTGCTGCTGGATATCTTAACCTATGATAATATATATGAGTTTATTTACTAGTAGAATTATAGTTTGTATTAGCTAATAACCTGAATATACAGTAAATAATAGATGTCAGATAAATGTAGTGCACTTAAAAGTACAATATCAGCATCCTTGATTGATTGATTGATTGAAACGTTTATTAACAGCTTGTATATTGGCTACAGTACAGCTCAAAACATACAATTGTTAAGGGGATGCAGACCAGAGAAAGACTTTCGTCTTGTTTACATCAGGGTCCCCCATTTCCAATTCATCATATGAATGTAGTCGACTACAAATATAACCTCAAATGTGTACTTAAGTACAGTTATTGAGTAAATGTACTTTATTTATTTCAGATACTGGAAACCATAAAGTGATTCCCTGAGTTACCGCATACATTTAAAAAATAAAAAATGACCTAAGGTCCGAATAAATGATATAAAAGCAGAGCGTTGCTGCCCTCTAGTGTCTATAAATGCACTGAATAGAACAGCATCCCTACGCAATAGCACGCGGGCAGAGGCGCGTGTCTCTGTTCACTGTCCATGGCTGTGTTCAAGTCAGTCACGTATCACAGGCTCGTTCAGTGCTGTTTCCCTAAATAAAATCAGCGCGTGGCTTATTCAGCATGACGCACGGTGCTTACGCCTTCGTGCGATAATGTGGGGAATGTCGCTGCTTGTTTTATAGTAACCAGATCTGAGACTTACAAACAGACAACTAGTGACTTTTGGGATGAGAAAGACGCACAAGAGCAAGCAACATGAGGATAACACGCTTTTTAATGATTGTTTAATTGTGTGTAAATGTATTTTTGTGTCTGTCTTACTTAATGCTCCGTTTAAAGCACTTTGAATTGCCTTGTTGTTCTAACAAGTTGTATAAATGAACTTGCCATGCCTATAACACTCACTCCTCCTGAAGTTAGATAAGACAGTGCGTTTAAACACACACACACTTCATAACCGACCAGCCTGAGTAATAAGGTATTAATAATTGATACCCCCCTGGTAATACACATATGACTCAAACAGTATCACTGCTGCCCCCACTTGACCTGACAGTAGTAATTCCTAGACAGAGATCACAAACTGAGCATTTGCCAGCCACGTATTATGATGAATAAATACATGTAAAAAGCAGAAACACAACCCAAAACAGCCTTTCCCTACTACAACTCCAATCATATCCGATTAAAACTCCCTAAATTACTTTTTATTTCTTAGATAAACATATATTAATGATTAACACACATCTGTAAACAAAGTACTTCCGCATTGAGAAAAAAAAGTCCTCAGCTTGGTGATAAATCTAAAATAAAACACTATAAATAACTCTGCTTCTGTGGGGTCTTAGCTTTTTCCTGGTGTCCTGTCAGTACCCTCTCATCACTAGCGGAGTCAGAGTTATGTCTGTCTGTGTTTTATGTGACCTGTGGCCGCCATACCGGCCGCGGAGGACTGCACGGCTGCATCCTCACCGCTCGCTTATCGCGGAACACGTACACAGCCGGTATAAAAGTCACTTTGAGCTCGAGCCTGCAACTGCTCCAAGGTAATGTCTACCGGCATGAATCTTTGAATATATATATAATAAAATATTCTTTTTTTTAATCTATTGTCACTATATGTCACTTGTAACCTATTTTAATTGCCTATGCTTTTATTGAGGGAGAATGGTTTATGTCAAGAAAGTTCTGGAAATTCGGTCTCGTCTGGAAATTATCGATAAGAGTTTTGGATTTAATCCAATATCGAAAATGTGCTGTTTTTTTTCATTGTAATAGCATGTTTATGTATTTTAAATCATACCTTGGTTGTATCAAAAAGAAACAGAAACTAGGTCGTCTAAGGAGGAAATGCTTTTAATGGCAGGTTATTGATAAAATGTCCGCCAACAACGTTTTAATACTATCTTTATTAGACGCATATTCGACCGCATATATTCAATTTTTTTATGAAGTATATGTACTCTGAGAAAGGAGTATTAGATGAAAACTCACGTACCCTAAACTCTCACAAAAATAACCCTCCTTCAGCATGCAGTCAGCTGCAGATAATTGATAAACCAGCAGTGTTCAGTTGGTCTGCCACCATAGATGTATTAATGTCGGTCTGTTTAATTTACTTAATGGGTGCAATTGGTGGAAAGGAGCTTTTTGCTTAGAGACAGAAAAATAAGCATTTTTTGTTCTTGCCTCTTACAGTATCCATTGATGATATATTCTTAACAGAGGTGAAAATGGCTGAGGAGGACATTCAAACAAAACTTAAGAATTACCGCACGGCTCCATTTGATGCCCGGTTCCCCAACTCGAACCAGACCAGGAACTGCTGGTCCAACTACCTGGGTGAGACCTTTATATATACAGTCTATGGGTGAGACCTTTATATACAGTCTATGGGTGAGACTCAGAGTCAAGGTCATATCAACCACTGTGAAACCATGAGGGCATTTTGGGTCAGATATTAAAATATGTATATTATTGTTGCTTTGATTAATGATGTATATTTTGAAGTCAGGTTAATAAATGGTCTCTGACCTCTCTTGAAGTAACCCAGTTTTTTTTGGGGAACTGACATGACCCTTTGTTTTGTGACTTGGATTGAGGCCATATTGCTGTTTTTGAATTTCATTGTTGTCGTTTCTCTATTAATAGACTTCTACCGCTGCCAGAAAGCTCTAGACGCTAAAGGAGTGGACACCGCGCCCTGTGACTGGTACAAGAGGGTCTTCACATCAATCTGCCCCATATCCTGGGTAAAACTTAGATTTTTTTGCATTCACTTTTTGTCTTATGTGGAAACCGCTCTCCCAAAAGGTCACAGCCAAGTTAAAAAGTGATGGCAGAATATACTTTCCCTTGTGTGGGCTGAGTTTGTTTAGCAGAGGTCAAACAACTTTATCGTTGCTCACATTCCTGTTAGTCTGCTCGGCCCTGTGAATCAAAACAAAGTTTCAGTCCAAAAATGGAAATTTACTCTCAGCCCAATAAAAAGCAGGGAGGTTAAAGAATAACGTCTTCCTTGTTTTTTAGTTAAAACAATAAAATAAAATATTGAACGAGTGTCAACATCACATATTCAAATCACAAAATTAACACAAAATCAATATTAAATGTCAATGATTTACAAAACATAGGACATTTCTTGTAGTTTAATGTCCTCTGGTACATTGTAAAGGTTTATACAAGAGTATAACAGTTGCATCTATTTGAATAGGCTGACATTTTCATGCCTTTTAGGTATTTTTTGTAGGTTTTTTTCAGTTTTAATGGTTGTTATTAGGGTTGCTCCGATCGGGTATTTTGGGGCCCGGCCGATACCGATCCCCGATCCGATCGGGTGGGTGGGGGCTATGGGGATCTTTCATTTAAAGTGATGTTTAAAACTCAGTTAATGGGGCTCATTTTTATATTGCTTCAGTTTATAATCGTAACGGATCGAAAAGTTCAGATTCATTTTTCAATACATGATGCGCTTCCACAAACAACAACCAACATAATTATTACATTCAAATGAAGTACATTATTCAAGTTTACATTAACTTTGGATAATAACACGGGGGAAATGAGCGGAAGCGCTCTCTTTTCCTCTCTCTCTCTCCTGACAGCCTGTCAGTATCGTCTCCTGCAGCTCACTGATCCAGTAATGAGTGACCCGAAACTGAAGAATAAACATATGTATAACTAGTTTAGCTTGTTCCAGAGGTAGATAAAATAGCTAAGTGTGTTAACTCTTAGTGTGTGTTTTGCTCCGCTCAGCGGTCCATCACAGCGGGCGGAGCTGCAGGATTTCTGCTTCACACATGTTGCATACCGCTATTTTATTGTCTTTTTCGAACACCTTCAAATACTGCCAGACCGGTGAAGCCATTTTGGCGAGCTTGTTTTGCCGCGCACTGAGAAAAGTGTCATGTATTTTACGTCATGTGATCGGCTCTGCTGATCGGCCTTTATAGAGAGCACCGATCGATCGGCCGAGAGTGAATATCGGCCGATCAATCGGCGGCCGATCGGAGCTGTTATGCGAAGTTGTTATAACTTTTACTTTTCGTCCAGTAGCCTACCACGAAAGTTGCTTTAGTAAGTAAACTTTACTTACCTACACCCGATCAGTGATGTAACAGCAGGTGTTTTGCTTTTTATTTCACTGATATTGAAAAAGATGGTTAAATATTAACTAAGTTTATCATGACCCAGCAAAGGATTTCTATAATTTTCTGAACATTTGTAATTCTAAAAGTTAACATTTATATCTCAATCTTTCTGAAATGTTTCCCCTTTAGGTCCAGAAATGGAACGACCAGAGAGAGGAAGGGAACTTTCCAGGAAAAATCTAAACCTGCCATTTCCAAAGCTGTCTAGTCTGCTGAGATGTAAACTATTCAGCTAAATGTTTGTATCAGTGGTGCGACGCCATGTGGCTCCATCACCACCTTTCCAATACTGATGTTCTGTCCTGTAACTGAATGGTCATTCCTGACAAATACCATGAGACAGCTGATTCTGCATTAAAATATCTCAGGAGATATTTATGAAGCTCCGTTGTCCTCTGTGTTTTTAATAAATCATTCAGAACAGTGTGGGGTAAAGTCAGGACGAGGTCTTTTCCAGATATTTGTTTACATTTTATTCATTTCAAATAAACCTACATCAAATATACATATGTAATCAATATTAGAAAAATAATTAAATATTTCAAAACACTAAATGCCACACATACAATAACAGCCACCGCCCTATAGAGCAGACACAGAGTGGTGACCATTGTTGCTGTCGGACACGCGGAAATTAAATACATAAAACTGCATTTCATATACAATTACCCATCATGAGTGAGGAGTATAAAATAGTTGATATATATTGGGGCTCAATGAAGCAGTAGAAACTCCTCCAAACACAAGTGTCTAACATTTTAAGATGATAACAACGGCTAATGCTGAAGAGACTCTCCCATGCAACAAGTTAGAACAGTAAATATTGAATAATGAATGTACAACACCAACTATTAAGTATTATAGTGAAGGTAAAATCAGATGAATCCCTTTTTGAACATTAACCTTCTCAATTTGAGGTAAGTTTATAGTATTTGCATATTAGAAGTTGCCTGTTACTGACTCTACTTGGAAATCTAAAATGGCAAATGTAGATTTCTTTCGAACTAAATGACTTTTACTGGTTCATGTAATGTTTGCCTCTATAAAATCTACCTTATAGAGCAACTTGGATAAAGGTCACTTGGATTGCAAACAAGTTTTTCTACCTGACGCAAAGCAGAAAATATAGACTGACCCTAATTTTGTAAAGCCAAATGTATATCGAAGATTCAAGTGTGGACAGCTTCAAGTTGAACTGTACAAAAATCGGACCACTGTACTGATTTCAACTAACTACTTCAGCCTTCGATATAAATCTTTTTAAAAAGGTGAAAAGCTCAGTCGAAGCACTTCCCCAAGTATTACTGTTCGGCTTTGAAATATAGTAGCCGACAGATATAAACTGTTAATAGATATAAATTAGCTTCTGCATAGCATTGGTTTGTGAACTGCTGGGAGTGTTAGCTAGTTTTTAAAGATCATCACCAGTGAACACAATAGAGCGGTGCAGTGATGACGTGTTTTTGTGGGCCGACAAGAAAGTTAGCATCGCATATCGTAAGGTTTCCATTGACAAAAATCTATTTTCTGATTACTGAATATTGTAGTAAATAAGCTCTGTGGCAAACACACTTTAATGGTACTTAATTTTTGAAGCAAAATGACTAGTCTCGTGTTCGACGTGACGTATACTAATCTAATTTATTCACATACTAGTATGACAATTCACAAGTGGTGCGTTTACTGATGTATATTAGGTTTAAGAACATATTAAAAAACCTTAAATGGGTGTTACCACAGAACTTATTTCAGGCATCTAACCAAAAACATTGAGTTTAAGACAAGGGAACCGGAAGTGGTAAAATGCTAACTTATTTCCAGATTTTAGGACTCATTCCTGCACCACTCTATTCACTTAAAACCGTAGCATTGGCCATATCCTGATAGTGTTTTCACGTGGCCTTGGAGCTATTTCTTTTTTAATAAGGTATTTTCACGCCACGAGCAGCATTTAAATATGCAGCACAACAGTCACAAGTAGCAGCCACAGATATAGTGTTTAGTACGAGGCACAATAATAGGGCTGATAAAAAAAAACAGCCTTATAGGTTCATCCTGGCACTGTGGGGGGGGGGCAACAATACAGTACGTGTTCAGAATAACAAGTGTAGGGGGAGAGGAGAGCGATCCAACCATAAAGTGGAATCTAGTGTGTGTGTGCATGTGTGTGTGCGTGCGTACGTGCGTGCGTGTGTGCGTGTGTGAGCTAACCCATTGGTATCTCTTCAGTGAGGACTACGTGAGACACTTTGAAGTCGCCATAACAAACCGTGGCTGCTTTCGGTGTTAAAGTTAAGAACGTTTTCAAGTGACCCACCAAAAAGTGAGCTTAAAAGTCAGCCATAGTTCCTCCTGTTTAATTCAGTTTTCTTTGTTTGAGCAGTGAATCCACATCAGTCTGTTTTTTTGTCTGTCAGTACCTCCTCTTTCCGTGTTTCCCACCGTCAGTCATGCAGGTTTTAGGCCGAAGAGCTGTATTGAGGTAGAAAAAATATATTTGATTTAATAATTATTACATTAAAATTGGACTTATTTGATTTACTGACATTTTTTAAACTGGTGAGGGACAAAACAGGCTATTTAAATAGTTTCCCTGACCCACCTGGATCTGCTGTCTGCTTCTTCTTGTTGTGATGGACAATCTGATTCTCATTGGTCATCTTCACATCCTGGTCCTCCACATAATTACTGCAACACAGAGAGAAAAAGAAGACACAGGTTAGCTACTTTGCTGTGCTAGTGGAAAAACAGGAATTACACAACATGGAGATCTGACTGATAACACAGCTTGAAGCCAGCAGGTCCAGACCTTGAGACCAAGGATATGTAACAGAGGAGAGAGAAGGGAGGGGGGGGGGGCAGAGGCATCACAACTTGGGTGTGTGTGGTAAGGAGGGTGTGGCATGACTGGAGGACGTTTGAGGGAACTGGGGCATTCTTCAATACAGGGGTTGACCACAGGGAGGTGCTGACACGGGGCGTTCACAGACTCTGTTACTCACTGTTGGAGGTGTCTGCCGCCGCGGGGGCTGGAGTGGAGAAGAGCATATCTGTGTTCAAAACAACTCACCGCTCAGGAGAATGGGGTTTGATCTAACCTTCTTTCTCAATTTAGTATATATCTACACATAGTGTGTATCGAACATGTTAAACCTTTGGTCAGATGATGAGACAGAAAACAGAAAAACTCAACCCAAAGGAACTTTTTCTTTGTCTCTCAAATAGATGCATTCAAGTAACCTTGTCTTTCTGTAAATATAGGTTGTTTGTTTCTGTATAGGCTAGCCTGTGGTGGATGAAAATCAATTAATTGTAAAAGCAATTTCTCATGCAAAAAAGACAGGAAAAGCTTTGTTCAGCTTCTCAAAATTGTTAGCCAGAATAAAGATTCGGTATGTTTTTGTAAAAGGAAATTTGTACGACCGATATTCAATAATATATCTACATCCTAAATATCCAGGGTACCTGATGACAGTGTTCCTCTCGCGGTGTGCGATGTAGGCGTTGTCGGTGAAGAGGATGGTGTGGTACGGCACCACGGGGTCACAGGTGGGCAGAATGCCTCGAGCCACGTGGCTAACACAGTCCAAGATGCCGTTATACACCAGGAGGTCGTCCACCAGCAGCTGTACACATAGACAGATTGTTGCTTGAAGTTTGAATGTAAATGTTTTTCTAGGTCAAAGCAGAAAAAAAGAGGCTTACCCCAAACTCCTTCACTCCCCTTTGTGGCGTCTTTGAGTAGTTCCACAGTTTGATCATGGACACCGTCACCGGCTGATCGAAGATGACGTACACACGGTTCACCTATGAGGAAACAATCGATACACTTACAAATGTACTCTGCTCTGAGTGTGTGAAGTGAAGGCACTCTGTCTGAAATGCTCACCAGTCCAGGGAGCACCGGGGCTAACCACATGTATCTTCCATCGTGGGTACTGTTGACTCCGTCTATTAATTTATCTGGAGTCCTCACATCACCGCTCACATTGTCCAGCACATTCACACTGTCTGGAAAAGCAGCGATGTCTGGGAGGGATAATGTTGAGGAGCAGACACATTAATACTCCTGCAGAAACTATTAATGATTTACCAACTACGTGTATGCGTCCATCTAATACAATTGGTTGATAGTGTAGCAGTTATTACATTTATGGTATCAGGTTTTAATATTAATACCTTTAGATAAAGTTGAATATTTGTAAATGTGTGAATTTAGGCCATCTAAACCCAGTATTTGTGGATTTACACTAGGGCTGCTCGATTATGGCAAAAATCATAATCTCGATTATTTGGGTCAATAATTGATATCACGATTATTAAAAACGATTATCCATTTACTTTGAAAACATCCATTTATTGAAAAAACATTTTTGAACAGTATGTTTTTAACAGTTGATTACCCTGAACTTTAAGTATAATTCAACTGAAAAACCAATTAAAAAAAATAATCGTTTTATTTCGATTATGTTGTTTTCATAATCGTTGCAAGCCAAAATCGTAATTGCGATTAAAATACGATTAATTGAGCAGCCCTAATTTACACTACCATTTCCTAACTGCAAAAGATAAAGGATTATATATAGGGCTGTCAAGTTAACGCGTTAATAACGCGTTAACGCAACAAAAAAAATTAACGCCACTAATTATTTTAACGCGATTAACGCATGTGTATTTTTTGTCCTCGGCCGCCCCGTAGTTTCAGAGCGCATCGAGTTTAAAATACCATCTACAAGCTGATGCTGACAGCCCCGCTCCTGCCTCCCGCTTGTGGCAGACCACACTTCCACGCTCACCGGCAGGCCCGGACTGGCCATCGGGAGGACCGGGAGGTAGTGTGTATGTGTGGCGCGACTCGCGCGAGCGAGGCACACCTTACGTGTTGTTAGCATCTGGTGGTAGCTAGCTGCGCTAACGGATATAAGGAGCTGTTTCAATGACATTTCGCCGACAACTGTGCCGAGCACTTGACTTTATGCAGGTAGCCAGACAGTGGGACATTGTACGAAAAGTCAGCACACTCAGCACGGATAGTGCGCGCAACATGATTGCAGCGTCCAGGCAGCACACGTTCGAGCATTATGCCTTGAGCGGCACATAGCTCCAACGATCCATCACAGTGTCTCTATATATACACACACACACACACACACACACACACACACACACACACACACACACACACACACACACACACACACACACACACACACACACACACACACACACACACACACACACACACACACACACACACACACACACACACACACACACACACACACACACACACACACACACACACACACACACACACACACACACACACACACACACACACACACACACACACACACACACACACACACACACACACACACAG